AGCCCATGGATTCTGACTCAGTAGGTCAGCGCTGGCCAGTGAAATCGCATTTCTAGGCAGCCCAAGTTGACGCCCGGGCTGTGGGTGTTGGCACCACACTTCAAGAACCAGTCTCTTAAGAGAATTATGGGCAGGTGGCAAGGCTTGGCAAAATGGTTGCGTGGGTCCTGCCAAGCACAAATTGACCCAAGTATACCTGGTTGTGGGGAGGTGGGTGGATAGCAAGGGAAGGGGGAAAGTATCAGAGAGAGTGTACCTTCTCAGCTTTGTTTGGCACACAATGGAACCACAACTTTAACTTTCCACATTTCCTACTGCTTTATGTGATTTGGGTTTAGAAGGAAAACACTCAATGAGCCAATTTTCTAGGAACCAGAGAGATTATTCCTGGATTACTAAAAATACTGGTCATCCTAATAACTGCTTTATTGAGCTATAATTTACATACCATAAACTTCACCCTTTACAAGAGAATAGTTCAAGGAATTCTAGTAAATTTATACTAGGTAAGCATCACCATACTCTAGTATCAGAACATTTCTATAACCTCAGAAAGTCAACCAAAATATTGTGCTTTGGGCCAGAGTCATAGTACAGTGGGTAGGACACTTGCCTTGCATGCAGTGAGCGCAGTATGGTCCCTGGCATCCCACATAGTCCCCTGAACTCTGCCAGGAGTAACCCGTAAGCACAGAGCCAGGAGTAAGCTCTGAGTTCCACCAAGTGTGGCCCCTAACAAAACAAAACAAAATAAATATGGTTCTCTGCCATATTAATTCCATTAAATGCATGTTTAAGTATCTTTCAGAGGAAGAATTAAAATTCTTTGTTCCTATTGTTTTTGACCTAATCCAAAGATCACAGGTTTCCTGGTTCATTTGACATTTGTAGTTTTCATTGAATAGTTTGTGTGCCACTTGTCTGAAATGTAGCCCTATAGGGTATGCCAGAACATGCTTTTTCATCTTATGTTGCTCCATAAGTATACCCCTCACAGTTTCAAAGAGTGCTCCAATAGTTTCTCTAAATTCAGTAGTCATCTGTTTGCACACCCGTCTCATGCCAAGCTGTGTGCTAAAAGATGTAAAGATTAAAAAAAAATGCATGACTCCCAAATTCCAGGAAGGCTCTAGGTGATAAGACAAAAACCCAACTACTAAAGTGTGAGCATGTTTTTAAAAGTTCCGTATTTTTTAACTTTAGACTTTTAGGTGAATGAACAGCACTAAATCTGGTCATTTTTATGACTTTCTCACTCCAGAAGTTGCTTATCACTGGCCCAGCTAAACTCAGCCATTTTATCAAGAGACAGAACATTTTCATAAACAGTGTCCTGAGCCTTTCAATCCGAGGATACAGTTTTAACTATGGTAGACTCAAGAGTGACTCCTTGTCTTGGGTCTCAATGCATCGTGGCCTGTACTGCATTAGGTATTTTGGAACACATGAAAGAAAGGGAAAAAATTCATGTCATGAAAAAGACAAGATTTGCAAAGGAATTAAAGCAGATGTTAATAAGTGATGTGTGGCAACATTCTACATTAAATATGAGCCAGTCTAAAATATCTAGAACATATATTAAGTGCAAGGGGGAAAAGGCTTGTCCCCCTTTGAAAACGCTATATACCTTTTGTGGGTTTTGTTTTGATATAGGGCTATACTCAAGGTTTACTCCTGGCTCTGTGCTCAGGGATCATTCATGGTGAGCTTCAGAGGAATATATATATATATATATATATATATATATATATATATATATATAGTTCCAGGATTGAACCCAGGTCAGCCTTCTGCAAGGTAAATTCTCTAACTATTGTACTATCTCTCCAGCCATAGGTATACCTCTAAATCAAGAGAGGCAGGTGAGCACAGGGAACATACTGTAGAGGCTAATAAAGTGGAATGTATTTGTTGTGGTTTTTTGTGGGGGAGCGAAGAGTTGAGCCAAAACCAGGTGATTGTCAGGGGCTATTCCAGGCTCCGTATTCAGGCATGATGCCTAGTGACATTCTGAAATTGCCTGGTATTTGTCATCTGGCTGTAAGACAGTTGCCTTAAATCTCTGATCTTGGAAGACATAACATTCAGGTCGCCTTTTTCCTTTCTATTGGACCAAATTGCCATTTATTTACATATGCTAATTAAACGTCCAATACAAATTATTTGCGTAGAAAATAAGTGAACTAGATCATATCGGAAGTAGAGCAGCCCTGTAGCTTCTTGCACTCTTTCTACATTTTATGGTGTTCACTTAAGCTTTCCCCACTGGAAACAGAAAAACAAGACATTTGATTTCCTTGGAAGGCAACTGATACTCGTTGCTTGTATCCATGGACTGATGTTACTTGAGAATAAAAAAAATGGGCATACAGACTGCTAAAAGCAAGACCCATTTTATTGCTTGAAGTTTCTGGTTTGCTTTTCCAAATGCAATCTATTTTCATAACTTTGAGTTAAACGTGAATATATATAGGAAGTTCGCCCTGATACACATTCAGGAACAGAGGAACAGAGGAGAAGTGTCTTGATATACCACTCTCTTCCTTTTGGGGGGATTGCCATGGTGACCCATGGTTCTCCTAGGAGAGCCATGTCTGCCCAGCAACTGGTGGGTCAGTGTGACTGACTTCCTCTAGATCTAATGACTTCTGGTTTTGAACATTAGGCTGGTCAGAGAGCAATATCAGTCTTCCTCCTCCTCCATGGCCAGCATCAAAGACAAGCAGTTCAAATGACAACAGCCCTGCATGGAAAGGTAATATGGTGTTTTGTTGCACTGGAATGATACTTTCTGGCTTTCTACAAACCTAAGACTATTTTCTCTCTCGGATTTCCTTTGAGGCCTGGGGCTCAAAGCAAGGGCTGCAGAAGTGTTTGTACATAAGTCTAGCATTGGTATACTCTGACTTTTCCCCTTCCTTCACGTCCTACTTTATAATTCTCTTGATTTGATGGAATGAGGATTAACCTAATATCATCTCTGTGTGACTTAGTTGCTCCCTGACGTTGAATGGAGACCGGAAAATAGGAAAAGCCACTAAGTTTTTGTTATCCCTTGCTAAAAATGCCATCGCCACCACCAAATAAGGCTCTTAATGAGTGCTCCTGGGAGAGAGCTGGGGTTCAGAGTTGTCAGAAGGAGACAGCCTTATTTGGTGACAGCTCATGAGATCTGCTCTCTCTCGGGCCTGGCCCTCAAAGAGATCATCTGCTTAGCTGCTCCACAGACACTGTATTTGTGGCCCTCTCTGCATTCTTGTGGCCTCACCCACATACCTTTGTTGACCCAGGGAAGTTCTAGGCTCTTAGTTTACCACAGAGCGCTCCCACTCAATCCTCTGAGGTGTTTTGCAAGTAGTTAACACCTGTTTTTCCCCTCTGACAGCAGAGGCCTGGGGAAGGTGAGGATTGACCCAAAGTACAGAAACCTGGTCCCATGGAAGGGTCACACCCACAGTCTTGCATCTGCATAAGACTCTTTGCAGGTTGAGAAGTCGAGGCAAGTTTATGTGTGGGATATTTTCATTCAAGGTATCCTTAAGATATTTTGATGTGCCCTATCAAGAATAGGAATAAATCTTCCTAAATCAGTCTTGGTCCATCCATTTCCTTGTGTGACCCCCTCCCCCACCCGCCATAGGTTTCTCAAAAAGAAAGTTAATTCCCTTTTTAAAAGCAATGCTCCCTCTAACTCCAGTCAAACAGTATTGAGATCTCTCAAGTATTGAATGGTAATCTAAATTAAAACACACCAAGGATATTGATGGCTAGCTGCATACGGAACACAGTTCATGTGATGTACCAACTAGTTTGGTTTGCTGTTGTCTTATCTCTAGAATAATTGCTTTGAGTATCTCATGTCAAAGTTATGTATCTGTGATGGGATTGGTGGAAGTGAAAGCCAAAGGCAAGGAGAGGAAATTGGCAGAAAAAAGTCATCAGGACGTGGTCTTCATGGCTCAATGTCACTTGAATGAAAAGATTAAGAATCTGTTTGTATAGGTAATTGCCCACTGTATTCTTCCACCACTCCACTGTACCCACTTTTAGCAATGTGCCCTGCCTGTATGTGTGAAAATTCTTCAGCCAGATGGCAAACACATTCCTAGCTGCTCAGAGCTGAAAGGATAACTGGCAGAGAACCTCTCTCTGTGCTTTTCTATGTATCCACCTGTGGTAGTTGGGGGTGGGTGGAGGAGAAGGAGCCCGTCAAGCCAGTGAATTCCCATGTGGAATTATTTATAGAGAGAACCCCCAACTCAATGAGGAATCATTTGCATCAGGCACTCTTTTGAAAACGTTCTCGTCATCTGGAAAGTAATTTGGCTCTTTAATCGTGCTCCTCTGGATATTAGGGAAGGTGATTCAGGGCAGGAGCAGCTGAACAGAATTCCCCAGTAAAGCTGAAGACTGAGGGGGGTGGCACAAAGTGGGGGCATGAGGCATGATCACAACCCACTGGAAGAGGAGGCGATGGCCTGGGTCCTCCATCCTTACTGAGAGAAGAACAAAGATGGCAGATCTGGGGGTCCATCTTTTCCCAGATGTTGTTCTGAAGGCATAAAAGAGCAGCCATACTATTTTTCTTGGCCCTGCAAATTTGGAGAGACCCCCTCAGTGGCCACCAGATAACCCCTCGCTTCCTTATTCCTTCTGATTCTGAAATGACTATTAGATTCCCTGGCTGCAGAGAAATGGCAGTATCTAAGGTTTTAAGCAGTTTGAAGGGCTGCAGACATTAGGCTGGAGGAAGGTGCACAGGTTTAGAAAATGAAATACTGTGCCCGCCTCTTGCCTTGCCTGACTTCTTCACTGAGCTTAGGCCATAATGTGGTTTAGCCTGGCGCTGGGGAGGGCAGTGGGCAAAGGACACGGAATCCCGCCCCCCGCCACCCCGGAGGTGTCATGGATCTGTCTCTGGGTCGCAACCTCTGCCTCAGGAGGGACTTGGGCTACAGGCAGTGAAAGGCAGGGGCTGACGTTTTCTCTTCTTTCCCCAGAGCCTGCCAAGGCCTCCTCAGACCTGACTGCTTGGTTCAGCCTCTTCGCTGACCTCGACCCATTATCAAATCCTGATGCTATCGGAAGAACGGATAAAGAACATGAGTTACTCAACGCATGAGCCTGCAGCTCAGGAAGAGCAGGCCCGAGAAGCGATCAGTATGCTGTTTGAATATTTACGTGCCATTTTAATAAAGCAAGAGGGTGAAAGGCCCTGTTTATATTGGTATATTATTTACTCTTATTTGGCCGAGAGGGGTCTAGGGGATTTGCCACCTGGACCTCAACAGCACAGGACAGTCACGGAGCGGCTGGCCGCCAGCTGCCCTCCTACCAAAACCTGCACCCCATGGCAGACACCTCGTCACCTGGCTCATGGGAGATGAGGCAGAAGCCCGGGTTAAATAACACGGCTTGCAACTCCCGAGGCCGCAGGAGGCTCATGCTGCCAACATGCCTCCTCTCTGCCTCCCTGCCCTGAGATGAGGGCTGCAGGGAGACTCTCCTTCCTGCCAAGTGGCAGATGAAGCTCCAGCCCACCAAAGAAGCAGGCCCCCAGCCCTGGCCAGCTGCTTGGAGGGGCCCTGTTGGGCAGAGGACCTGAGCTGACCTCCTTGCCATGGACCTACCGTGGAAAGCAGCTGTGTATGTGGACCCCAGTGTGTGTCCTCTCCGTGGCTGGGACTGAAAAGCATGTGTCTCTGGAGCCCCTCAAGATATTGCCATTTTTTTTCTAATTAAATGGAACACAGATTTGCCACACAAAAAGGGTGTGTTGTTTTGACTCGTGGGGGGCTGGATAGGGGCAGAGGCAGCAGCAGAGGAGGGCATGGAGTTCCTGAAGGCCCATCCCCAGATCCCGTCTTCAGGGAGGAGAAAATGGGCTTTCACTGACCATGGCCTGCCTGGGGATGAGGGGCCCGTGTGGCTCATGGGCACATGAATGACTCAGACACTCCAGCTCCCCCTTCTCGGTCAGTGTCTCACTGAGCCACCACACACATTAGCAGAAACCCCCGTACCCCTCTTGGGGACCTGGACAGTCTGGAACTCAGAGTTTTCAGTGGGGCCAGGGAGCACAATGCTGATGTCCCGTGGCTTCAAACTAAGTTTTGAAAGCCACCACACAGGCACAGAGGGACTTGGTCCCAGGAATGGCCACTATCCCCGCCAAGACTGTCCTGGGGGCTGGATACCTCGGGAGAGTTGGTGGCCTTCAAAGGCAGGTCCCACATGTTTGTCCCAACCCCTGAGAGGAGTCTCCCTCATTCCCCAAGCCTCCTATCTCCCCAGTATTCAGTCACCTTGTTAGCTCCTGATTAATGATTGCTGGATGGAGCTGCCTCATGTGGAATGCAGATTAAGGACTCATGGTTTCATCCTCCCTCGCTGTTGTATTGTGGGGACACCCAGAGTGAGGGTGGAGGCTGGTGGCTGTCTTGGCTCAAGGTCCATCCAGCCTCGGCGCAGAAGAGTGCAGGCAATAAGTTCATTCAAAATACAGGTTGCATTTGAAAGCTGATCTGTGTGTGTCCAGAGAGGAGTATATAGTTGAACAGCCTTATGACAGTGAAAGCAGGGAATTCCGCATGGAGACATTTTCTCCTTGAATTTCCTTTACATTTTTGTTGAAAAAAAAAATTTTTTTTTCCTTTACCCATCTGCAATCCACTTGGCCGGGCTCTTGATCACTCTTGATAGGTGTGTTTTGATCTGGACTCACATACAAAGCCTCTCAGCCACCTTTCAAGTTTAAGGAGAAGCAGCTGCAGCCCAATTCTGTTAAGTAGTTTGTATGGAGACTGGGCAGACACTTTCCTCTGCAGCCCACCTTGGGGTCCTCCCCCAGCCACCCCATTGCAAGGCTATTCTGACATGAAGACAAAGCTGTGCCACACTCTTCACTTCCAGCCTCGCTTCTCCCCCACTATACCTTCGTTCTGAGAGGCCAGATTGAGCCACATACGCACCAGGACCCACCAGGGAATGTAAATGGAGTAGCTCTGGGCTGACTCTACCATTTGAGGGGGTCTGTAAGGCTCGCAGCCCACCCGACCCAGACTAGTATACAAAAAATATTGAAAATTAAGGGAGGGAGGCAGAAACGTTTCTATTTCCTCCTTCCTTTCCCCAGCTGGCAGGGGCTGTGTTACACTCTATAGAGTCATTGCCTTGAAAATGTAATTTTAGAAATGTCAAGTTGATTTTGAGTCCTGGGAGGGTGAGAAAAGCATCCGTCAGCTTCAGAATTAGAAATGCACCAAGTTAGGAAGAACCGGTCCTTTCTGTCGGAGGATTGAGCCCAAGAAAACATGATCTGCTCAAAGTTGGCAGCCTAGAAGACCCTCAAGTTGCCAGTAGGCCTGTAGGGTGGGGGGGCTTACCCATCATGCTGGGGCCAGCCTTTAGGTTGGGTATGGGGCCAGGGCCAAGGAAACCCACAGTGCCCTGGGAGGCTGCCCAGCCATCTGGGTCATGGTGGCAACTGCCAGACCTCCCTTGCTTCTGCTGCTAGAGCTCCAGGCCTCCCTCTCCCACCACTGTGGAGATGCCCCTCTACCCTGGCCAATACTGGCAGTGGCTCTTGGCTAACCACTCACAATTTCGGGTTGTGCTTATCAACCAAAGGGATCTCTACCTTCCTCATCAACCAGTGTCCTGCAGACACGCCTTGACAGGTAACCCTTTGATTTAGATCAATGTCTCTCAACCTTTCACCAACTGTGGCCGTCTTCAGTTTTTTTCTTTCCTTCCTGTGGCCCTCCCATCCTACCAGTTGGTCCCTGAATCTCACTTCTACTCTCCCTTGGAATATCCTGGGGCCTCACAGGGGCCATATGGTTCACAGTTGTAAATGCTGTTTTAAACCATCTCCCCGGTCCTGTGACAGGCACCACTCACAGTGCAATCAGTGATCAAGGGCTCTCCAGCTTTGTTGGAAAATAGATTTCAGCTTAGTGCCAACGTCAAATGATTTGCAAGGGCTGCCAAGAATTCTGCATGGAGAAGGGTTGTGCTGAATGGTTTGAGATGGGTAGCGAGCAGGGACAACACACCTGCAACCGTTGAGTGTGAGCTACCTGCCCACGCTCAGTTTTGTCTATCAGAGGACTTTTGAGCTGCTTTTTGGTAATAAAAAATAAAAATAATGGGTTCTAGAACCCTGAGTAAGGGTGCATGCATGTCTTAGAAAAGCAGAAAGTTAAAAAAGAACATGTTATTACTAAAATCTAATTCAACATGAAAAGTGGGGGTGGATTTGCTTTGGTAACTAAAAAAGTCCAGATGGAGACTTCTGGCCTGGCTGGATCTAGTAGTTCAGATGATTTCTCAATAATTAACCCCTCTTCAGCTTCCAGCTCTGATCTCCCTATGTGCTGCTTCATTCTAACATAATATTTCTTAGGAGGCAAAAAGGACCACCCACGTCTCTAAGTCGTAGAATTGAACCTCCCTGCATCCACTGATAATCATTAGGATCAGGGAAGAAAGGGATGTGAAATAGGCTGCTTATCCAACTTTCTAGTGCCTGACTCTCACTATCAAGAACTGGGAATGTGAATGCACAGCAGGTAGGGTGTTTGCTTTGCACGCAAATGACCCAGATTTGATTCCCAGCATCTCATATGGTCCCCTGAGCACCACCAGGAGTTAAAAAAAAAAAGAAAAGAAAAAAAGGAAAAAGAACTGGGAAAGGGGGCCAAAGAGACACTTCATAGATCAAGGCACTTGCCTTGCACGCAGCTACAGCCTTCAACCAAGTTCAAATCCTTAAAAACATATGGTCATGACAACAGGTGTGGCCTCTGATACACCATGTGTTGACCCCACCTTAAAAATAATAATGAGGAATGGATAAAAAATAGTTCCTTAAGAGAGAACTGGGATGCTGAGACTAGATGAAGAAGGAGTAAATGATGGCTGGAAAATACAATAGTGATCCATCAGAATGTCTGAGGAAAAACTTGGATAGTATTTTAAGAGCAGTATTATGTGAAGGGGACAGTTAAAGAAATTGAGAGTTTTCTTAGAGACTCCACTCTGGTGAGTTTCCTCTGGGAGGTTGTCCCCAGGCCTTCAGCTAGATGTGATGAGCTCAGAGGTCCACTGACAATACCTACTTGGCAGTAACCCTTTGTTCCCTTCAAGAAAGTCAAAGGGATCTTGGAACTCTGCATTCAATCTGTTCATATCCAAGTGGGGAAATCAAGGAACCAAAAGACACTGAAATCCCTGAGTTAGTAGAGAGCTACAACTCTCACCCATGCTGTTTAAGTCTCAGCCATGTCTACTTTGATGTCTAGATGCGACTGAAAACTCCCTACTAAAGAAACACAAAGATATACAAAGTTCCTTTAGGAATCAGTAGCTCTCTTCTCTTCTTCCCAGGCTTGTGTATGTTTTGACCAATTGTTTTTAACATATTCTTTGGGAATCAAATCTGGGACAGTAATAGAAGAGATTAGGTACTCGACAGGTCTGGGTGCTGAGGATAGCTTGAGTGGTTAAAGTGCATGCCTTGCACACGCTAGCCTTTGAGTTTGATCCTTGACACCACATGGCCCTGCTACATGAGACCCTGGTGACCTCTGCAGCCTGAGTACTGAAGGCTCACATGGCTAGGCCAACTATCACCATAAGTGGTCCCTAGTCTCCAAACATTGCAGATAAACCCCTCTTCCCATCCCCCAAATAGTTCAAGGTCTGTAGCTGTACAGATAGATCTCTGGTAAAACTGAGACTGCAAATAGTATGTCACATACCTGTTTTCTCACCCCTAAACTAGGGATGGTAATATTTCCTGTCACAAAGAGTTATGATTAGGACTAAGTGGTTTGATGCCCCAAAGGCTTTAACATGCTGCTTGCAAGGACACTCTTACACAAAGTTCTCCCACACAAGGCAGTGTCATGGGAGGCCATTCTCCTGGTAAGACTGCTGAAGTAGGAATAGGGGTTGATTCCTCCTCATAATCTTTCGAGAACTTCCCAAACACCATCTTTCCCCCCAAAAACTTAATAACTCATCACCAGACATCAAGGGAATGGAGACAGAGAGGGGGCTGGGCTAAGGTTTCTAATGAATTAGTTGTCCCTGATTTACCATAAGTTGGATGCAATTCTGTGCTGACACTAGGGGAAAGGAAGTGGGTTGTCTGCCAGACGAAAGGGACAGCCTGTGAAGCATGGTGATCACAAAGCCATTTTTATGAGGCACTAATAACCAGAAGACTGATCAAAAGAGTTGGAATGCAGGGCCGTTGGATCTCTTATACGTTGTTGATGAGAAAACAGAGTGGAACAGACACTTTGGAAAACAGTTTGGTAGTTTCACAGAAAGTTAAACATGTCCTTACCACTCAACCCAGAATTCCATGCCTGGGAATTCATCCTGGGGGGCGGGCAGGAATTATATCTACACAAAAAGTTGTAGTGAATGCCTTGTAGCAGCATTATTTACAATCTCCCAGAATTGGAAACAATTTAGATAGCCTTTACCTGATTAATGGAT